CCATCTTAGCACGCACGAAGCCTTGAGCGTGCTTGCGACTAAAATATGAACTATAACCAAATCGGGAGAAGTATAAATAAATTCAAACAGAAAAAAAACTAGAAGAGGAAAAGGATGAAGGTAGAACCGAAGAAGAAAGGACAGAGAGAGATCCCTAACTTTTGCGAGGACACTGATGTTATTGTGTACGCTATATGCCCACCCAACCTATGACCACCACCGCTAGAGCATGGCTCTGGTGATCCCTTTGACCCTAAGACCGTGACGACATCAGCAGAGTTCGATATTTAAAGTTTAGGTATTCATGTTTATATTCTTTTCGTTTTCAAGTAACATTTTAAGTAGAAAATTAAGAAATAGAAGTAAGAATTAATATTAATAATATTTCATAATAAAAAGAATAAACTAAATAAATGTTCTTTTGCTTATTGACTTCTTTAACTGCTTTCATATTCATTTTTAATTCAGCTTTTAGTTCGACTTTACTTTACTTGCTATTCTCAATTCTTGAAATTATTAATTTTATTTTTTTTGTTATTATTTTTTTTTTGTATGCTTTCTTCAAGATCTTAAATTTCTGCAGCTCAAAGGCCTTAAATCATTATTAATAAAATTATAATAGTTAAGTTAATATTTTTTTTTTTTTTTTTTTTTTTAAATTTCAGAGATTATGTAATTAGGGTATTCAGTATTTATAAATTTTCCGCAGTGCATGATTTCGTTTAGTATATATTATTTCCAGAAAAAAATACAATATAATATAAATGTTCTAACCAACTCACAATACTTGATCCTCGACGAAAGATCGATCTCCCGGCGCAGGTGTCTGAAACGAAAATTAAGGCGCTTCGTCGCCAGAGTTTGGAAATATATATCTATGCCTCATCACTTTGGAATTCAAAACTAATTTAACTTAAAAGAAATATAATATTGTTCTAGCTGGTAAATAAAGCCGCGCTGAGAATCTAAACAGCATGATAGCAATCAAAATTTTTCTTGTTCACATATTAGAACTAAAATTATTTAGGTAAGAGAAAATATAATGAAAGAATTAATAGTCTAAATTAATTAAAATTGTTTTTTTTTTTTTTTTAAGACTTTAATTTATGCCAAAATTTCTCTCCGTGTACACGTGGTTTTGGGGTTTTTCCTAACGCATGTCACAAATTAACGGCTCATCGAAATTTTACTTTAGCACTTATTTAATTACTCGATTGGCTTTAATTAATCGAACAAAAAAAACGTGATGAGGGAGCTGCGCGGCAGCTATGTGGCTCCTTTGGCCAAGGTGCAGGGGTGCTCCTCTGCCGTGTGGGCGAGGTGCGAGGGCGAGGGTGTTCCTCCGCCGTGTGGGCGAGGTGCGAGGGCGAGGGCGAGGGTGTTCCTCCGCCGTGTGTGCGGGGACGCGAGGGTGCTCCTCCGGCCAAAAATGCGAGGTGCTCCTCTGCCTTGGGTGCGAAATGCTCCTCTGGCCAATATGTGAGGTGCTCCTCTGCCGTGTGCGAGGTGCTCCTCGGCAGTGTGGGCGAGGTGCTCCTCTGCCAGGTGGCGAAATGCCCTGCAATAGGGTGCTCCGGCGGCGAAATGCCGCGCAACAGGGTGCTCCCCTGGACAACGACGATGCAGGGATCGGCCTAGAATGCCCTTTTAGTTAGCAACCACAAAAATATATATTTTCATACACAGCTACTCACAATTGCCGGCCAATAGAGGCACGGGGTCTTGCTGTTTCGGCCTGCTGGCCGCGGCGACCCCAAAGGTGCTCCAACAATTTTCCGCCTTAGATAAAAATTAATAAATTTAGCACTCGCACTGTCTGCTTCCGACGGAAAACTCACTTTATTTATAAAAATTCGATTATTAATCACTTTTTCTATTTTTTCCCGATTCTTTAGGTCGACTATGCCTTCAGCAATAAAAGGCCGCGATAACAAGAAAATTTGGCACGTCTAGTTGCCACGCCGGTCGGATGGAAAAGAATTAATCCGGATGCGAAAATTATTGGCCAAGGCCAAGAACGGAAATCATGGTCAGCTGAAAATCCCCATGTTGGATATATAGCTTTCCAAAACATCCCTGGATCGGCTGATTAGCACATATTTCCCAGTTGGCATCTCTGGTGCAGCTTGCTCAGCTTTAACCGGTTGCCAAAAATTGCATATAATAATAAGCTTTAATTAAGTAAAGCTTTAGGTATTACTAATGATTTATTAAAGCCTACTTTTAGTCCAAACAGGTTTTAAGGTCGCTACGTGCGCCGCTATCAGGCTAGGGTGTCACTTGCTAGATGCCCTAGACTGATCCCGCATGGAGCGACATCACTGGCGAATATCTTTCGCATGATATGTCCCTACTAACTTTCCTTGTAAATCTTCCAGTTCGTAATAAGCGTTCCCTAGCCTTTTACGAACCCTAGCTTTCACAAAAGAGGGTCCAAATTTAGCATTATATCCTGTTTGAAAGCAGCTTTGCTTAAAATTTCGTCGAAAGACTTCTGGCCCTTCTACATACGCCACAACTCTGGACCTAAGATTGTACTGCTTCTCGTTCTCGGAGTGCTTTTCCAGCATCCTCTTGCATGCCTTCTCCCGCACTATCTCAAACGAGTCTTGACGATCGAACTTTAAGGATCGGTCATCCAACAAGTTTAGTTTCCTCAGCAAAGAGTACGTGGAACCAGAGGTGATCATGTGTTGCCCAAAGACCATGTAGTAAGGGGGTGGTACCTAGGCTTGAGTGTGTGGATGATCTCAACGCACAACTGATCCTATCTAAGTATTCGTCCCAGTCCTTTTGATCAGGCCGCAAATAAGCTCTAGTTGCAGCTATGACTGAGCGATTAACGCGCTCAGAAGCGTTAGTCTGCGGCGAATGCACAGCAGTCAGCGTATGTGTAATGCCGTACTGCTGCATCAACTTTTGGAATGCGTGCGAACGGAATTGGGATCCGTTGTCTGAAACGATCGTTTCGGGAGCGCCGTAAGACATGAATAACTCCCGTTCTAGGTACTTTATTACCACACCTGTATCTATTTTCTTTACTGGTTTGAGAAACACATATTTAGAAAAATGGTCAAGCACGATAAAAATCCCTATATTTCCACTTCTTGACCTGGGATAAGGTCCGAGAAAATCGATAAATAACCGTTGGAAAAATCGTTGAGTCTCCGGTGCTTTTCCTAACGGCGGTCGCAAAACATAGTTAGGTGCCTTAGTGGTTTTGCACACCTCACAAGCATTTATGTAAGCTTTAACATCTCCCACTAGTCCTGGCCAGAAATAATATCGCCTGACTCTCTCGATGGTCTTGTGTATTCCACCATGAGCCGACAATGGACTATCGTGAGCGCGAGAAAGTATCTCAGGTACCAGCTCCTTGGGTACCCATAACTTCCAGGCATATTCGTCGTGCACTTGCTCTCCTGTCAAGTGCTCGGCTTTCCGATAAATGTAACTGCTATCGGTCCTGAGATCAGGGAAATTCTTCAGATTTGCACTCACTTTCTGTACTAGCTCGGTATATTCCGCGGATTTAAAATGTTCTGAATTAAGATCCACGAGAATTCCTTCCCGTACGTCTATAGCCGCTATCACGTCTTCGTTAACCCGAGACAAGGAGTCGGGAACTACGTTAAGCGAGCCTTTGCGATGCTCAATCTCGAAGTCATACCTTTGCAAGGCCAATGCCCGAGCTAAACGTGAATTTAGGTCGTGATTCGACATTAACCATTTCAATGACGCGTGGTCGGTTATAATTTTGAATCTATGTCCTTCCACATACGCCCTAAAGTGCTTAAGAGCCACAATCGCCGCGAGGCATTCTTGCTCAGTGACTGTGTAATTGCGTTGAGCCTTGTTCAATTTCTTTGAAATGAAGGCAATAGGACGCTCATCACCTTCTTCGGAAACCTGCACTAATACAGCTCCTACTCCAGTTTTGCTCGCATCGCAATGTATTGCAAATGGTTTGGAAAAATCAGGACTACATAAGACTGGAGCCTCGCTAAGACATTGTTTTAGCTCTTCAAACGATTTTACTGCAGCCTGGGTCAAACAGAATCTTCTTTTCGTAGTCATCAGATCTGTTAAAGGAGCAGCAAGAGACGCAAAATTTGGAACGAACTTGCGATACCATCCACACAGACCCATAAAACTACGCAAACTACGCAACGTCTTAGGCAAAGGAAAATTCCTAATTGCGGCAACCTTTTCTGGATCGGTTCGGATTCCTCCATCGCCGATTATGTGGCCCAAGTATCGCACCCTCAGCATGCAGAAGTGACTTTTGCCAATATTGATCGTCAAACCTGCAGGCTTTATGTGTAGCGCTACCTCTCTTAGCACTTCGAGGTGCCTCTCGAAACTTGATGAAACCACCAACAGGTCATCTAGGTAAATAAAAACCTCGTTCCTAAGATGTGCTGGTACCACTTTGTCCATCAAACGAGACATTGTGCTGGTAGCATTGCACAGTCCGAATGGCATGACTGTGAACTGATAGAGAGGTCTACCCGGAACTGTGAATGCCGTCTTGTCACGCGATGCTATTTCTAAAGGCACTTGCCAATACGCATCCTTCAAATCAAAACTGGTAATAAATTCAGCCTTCGGCAAGCGACTCAAAATGCCACTAATTTGAGGAAGAGGATATGCATCCCTTTCGGTGAAACTATTCACCTTACGACAGTCTAAGCAAATTCGAACCTTTCCAGGTTTCTTTACCATAACGATTGGAGATGACCAAGCACTGTCGGACTTTTCTATCACCCCAAGTTGTATCATCCTATCAATTTCGGCATACATTTCCTTTTCTACAGCCGGGGAGACAGGGAAATGACGCTGTTTAATTGGCTTAGCTATGCCTACATCGATAGCATGGGATATGAGATTGGTCTTACCGAGACCTTCCTGGCTAAACGACGGAAAACAATTTATCACATTCGTTAGCTTCGTCTTATCTATCTGGGACAACTTGTGTTGATCAACTTGGGCTTTGCCGACATTGTCAGTCGAGTTTAATTCCGATATGTTTAAACTTTTGGGAAATAGATCGTAAATCTTCCAGAAATCTATCCCCAAATACAAATCTTGCTTAAGCGACGGTACAATGTAAATTTTCAGTAGCTTCTTTACCTCGGCGTATTCGACCTCAGCATTAAAATACCCTATTATTTGCTGTGATCTGCCATCTGCTGTTTTAGCATGACTGTTTATGGCTTTATAAACCCCTTGGACTACTACCTCGCGAGCTAAGTTACCTCCTAGACAACTTATTGATGCGCCAGAGTCTAAAAGGCCGTAGACCGTACGATCCAGAACGCGAATTGGCAAAAACGGGCGAGGATTTTTTGACCCAGCAGGTAGTGAGTTTATATACTCTACACCAATTCTACAATTTCTGACGTTCTTCCAGAATGCTTTTATTCTACTAGAACTTCGAGATTTACGCTTTTCTAAGTCTTGGTGACCTTCACATTCAGGTATTATTATGTTCTTCAGTATTTGGATTTTGCTATGTAGCAAAGGACTAGCAGGTAATAGTTGTTCGTCAGGGATTGAAAGTTGTGCAACGTCAGCTGCATATTCTACTCTTCTGTCATTGTGGCTTGGCTCCGGAAGGCACTCGAAGTCTTCTGTTTGAATTGCGACTTCGGCGTGCCGGCTTTGGAGTTTTTTGAACACTTACTGCAACTTGGCTTGTAAGTATTGGCAGCTCCACAACCGTAACAGAAAACTCTCCTTTCAGATACGCAATCCTGATATCTGTGCCCTTCCTTACGGCAGTTCCAACATAATAAGGAAAACGCTTCGACATCATCCTCACATTCAGGTTCTGATTCTAATTGAGTTTCATATTCCTGACTGAATTCGGACACTTCCCGTTTAAAAGGAGTGCTTCGCATGTATCCACTGCAACGCTTGACGTCAGCAAGAAAGGCTTCGCGCCTGCGACAAATCTCCCTTAAATCGGACACTGTATTTATTTCAATATTTAGAATTTCATGTCTTATTTCTGGACGCAAATTATTTCTAAGAACTCGAATTAATTTACTCGAAGTCCAAGGATGCTCCAGCTGATCGACTAAGCCAGATATTGTATCGTAAAAACAATCAAAAGACTCGTTTGGCTTTTGTTTTGTGTTACGAATCAATTCTTCGATGTCGCCATCATCTCTTCTTTGGCGAAACTGGAGACGCAAGGCTGAACAAAAAGTGTCCCAATCAATCTCGCCGTTCGCTTTATGATAGCGCCAATAAAATTCATTGGCAAAGCAGACTGAAATTATTGCCTAATGTTTCTCGAGTAAGCGTATCCACTCTATAAATAAAATTATCTACCGAAACTCCTATGCCTGAAAATTTTATCTTCCATCCATTGAGGATATGCACGACCTTATCTGGTCGATTTAACAAGTCGGACGTAGTGCTTCTTTGGGAAGCTGGAGAACCCGGAGCCAAGAGGACTTGTCTTTGAGTGGTTCCAGTTTCATTCCTCGTTTCGACCCTATCATCATCGTTTCGACAACAGTTAACCAACTGCAATCGAAGTTATTTAGAAGATAGTTTGCTTTGATTTGCGATAAGTAAAGCCAAGAATTGTGTTTCTTGATTAATTAAGAAAAATATAAGATATATATAAAGACGTAAAAAGATAATTTTACCGAACTCTTTGCTAGATGTCACACGTATCAAAGGGTATTTATTTTCAATTATAATAATTAGGTTTCTCAGAAATTTAAAGTTGTGAAATTGATAGAGCGATATTTTTCTTTATTTCGAACTCGGTCAGTGATATTTTTAGAAATAAGTTCACCTGTGTTCCATAATCTAAAAAAAAAGAAAAATAAAACTTCTGGGGAAAATAAAAGATTAAGAAAGTTCCCATTAACTCTTTCTGGATATGACACTACTCAAAAGAAATGTCAGTATTTTCCGTACAGTTGAGTCTCTGATCTTCTATAATACTTTTGGAGTTGAGGCTAGTTCAATGACTTAGTACTACAATATGGGACAGAAAATAAGCTTGTTTTATTGCTCCGTCTTCTGTTTTCCTCATCTATAATAGCCACTATGTCATCTCATCTAGATTTAGGAAAAATTTCTCTGCTCTCTCGAACTTCTGGCCAGTTAGGATTATTAATAATTCACTAACCAGTTTTCCAAGAAATGTCAAGATACACGAAAGAAAACTTTTTTTTAAAGTCAGGAAGTTTGAGAGAAGTTAATAAAAAGTTGAGAAAGGAAGGAATGTATTTCTTAAACCAATGTATTTGTATAAAGGCCACACACTTCGAAATCTGGACAGTTGGGAATATTATTATTCACCTCACTGTGATCCGAGAATTCTTCAGATAAACCAACAACAAAAATTCTAACTTGATGCGTTCAAGCCATCAAAATAAGAAGTTTAACAAGGGAATGAATTTATTTATCCGCGAGTCTTAATAAAACTTTTACTAAGGCCACACGCGTTGGGCGCCACTTTTCTTAGTAATAATAATAAATCATAACTGTAGTGTGTAACGTTGTATTCTGGCTGCTTTCGAGGATCTGAGCTGCGGGGCACGCTGTATTTTCCGACTCTAGCTCGTCGGCTTTGGGGGTGGAGGTCTTGCCTACTCAGATCTCGGACACGAACTACACATTATTACTAATAAAGAAGAGAATTGAGCGTGCTTGCGACTAAAATATGAACTAGAACCAAATCGGGAGAAGTATAAATAAATTCAAACAGAAAAAAAACTAGAAGAGGAAAAGGATGAAGGTAGAACCGAAGAAGAAAGGACAGAGAGAGATCCCTAACTTTTGCGAGGACACTGGTGTTATTGTGTTCGCTATATGCCCACCCAACCTATGACCACCACCGCTAGAGCATGGCTCTGGTGATCCCTTTGACCCTAAGACCGTGACGACATCAGCAGAGTTCGATATTTAAAGTTTAGGTATTCATGTTTATATTCTTTTCGTTTTCAAGTAACATTTTTATTCTATTGATATCGGCATTCGACCTTCATCGAGTGCAGACGTGCTTACGGACGACCGCTACGCGGGGTTTATTCTCGAAGTGTTTTTTCATGGTGAAAAAGTAAATTCGAAACTCTAAACTACGTACTGTCAGCTAGGCCAAGCCCTACAGTGCGTATGACATACGGACAAAAGTGCGTGAGACGTGTTTTTGAGCTGCAAAGTTCATTTATATGGTGCCACGCGAAATAAGCTCAAAATAATGAGCGGCGATCAAAAGAATGAGCGTAGAACCTCTATAAACCAAAGAAACGGTTGCTTCACCTATTTCTCAACTCGCGATATCGAAGCAGAAAAAACGTCTACCAAGCCCAACCCGGCTCTACTGACCGCCGACGGCACGAGAGCGCGCTCTTGCTCCCCCGCCCTACTCATTCCAGCTCCTACATCTTGTAGCTCCCAATGCCAAACCCCACCACCATCGGCTTCGATGGAAGACGCACCAACAACAAGCAGAGCTGCAATTTCTGCAAACGCAGCAAAAGCAACAGCAACAACTAAACCAGCGACCAATATTGCGAAATCGGTGCCAACGGACGCACCGCCAAATTCAATGGTAACAAAAACCGTGAACTCCGATAAGCAACAAGCGGTTCCGGCTATACAGACTGGCATGGATCGCTACATCCAAATTAAGCGTAAGCTTAGCCCACATAACACGGTTGGTAACAAGCCTAAGATCAACCGTGTCACCAAAAGCTACGACCCAAACAACACCAACAAATTTTCTCCGCTAGCAGCTGATGAGAATAACCAAGCAGAGCCGGATCAGGAGACCCAAAAACAACCAAAGCCCCCACCCATTTATATTAGGGAGAAAAACTCAAACGCCCTGGTCAACAAAATTGTTGCGCTGGTCGGGGACGGAAACTTTCATATTGTTCCGCTTATTAAAGGGAACATTTGCGAAACAAAAATTCAAACCAAAACAGAAGAACACTTTCGGGCTGTGTCAAAATACCTGGAAGATTCCAAAAAGAATTTTTACACCTACCAACTGAAAAGCAGCAAAGGACTGCAAGTCGTGTTAAAAGGAATTGAACCAGACGTCGCCCCCTCTGAGATAGTGGAAGCCCTGAAAGGCAAGGGTTTCCTTGCCAAGAACGTCAGCAACATTATAAATAAAAACAAAAAGCCGCAACCACTATTCAAAGTCGAACTGGAGCCAGAAAGTAAAACTCTGAAGAAGAATGAAGTTCACCCGATCTACAAGTTGCAGTTCCTGTTGCATCGAAGAATCACCGTTGAAGAACCACACAAACGCAACGGTCCTGTGCAATGCACAAATTGCCAGGAGTATGGACATACAAGGACATACTGCACCCTTCGGTCAGTCTGCGTAGTCTGTGGAGACTTCCACAATTCCGCACACTGCCCTGCGAACAAAGAAGACCCAAAATCGAAAAAATGCGGAAACTGTGGAGAAAATCACACAGCTAACTACAGAGGCTGCGTGGTCTACAAGGAGCTGAAGAGTCGCATGCGACGAGCAACAGCTACACGCCAACAAAATACACAAAATGTGTATTATAATTCAAAAGCTACTCCAGATGTATTCTTTGCCAAAGCAGCCAGATCCTCTTTTGGTCCGCTAAATGCCCCCACGGGCATCTCCTACGCTGAAGCTCTACGAACAGGTATGCAAAATCCTCCCCCCCTCAAACTCGGTAAACCCTCAGCAGGCCCCAGGGCAGTCACAAAAACCGAACATGATGGTGACCATGCAACAAAGTATGATGGAACTCATGTCATTTATGAAAACGACCATGCAAACGCTCGTCCAGAATCAGAATATGGTGATACAGTTGCTTGTAGCACAACAGTCGAAATAATCAATGTCTAATCTACGTATATCCACGTGGAATGCCAACGGCGTCTCACGGCATAAAATTGAACTAACACAATTCCTAAATGAAAACCACATCGACGCCATGCTACTGGTCGAAACGCACCTCACAAGCAGATACAACTTCCATATAAGAGGTTATACCTTCCACCGCACAGATCATCCAGATGGTAAAGCCCACGGCGGGACCGGCATCCTCATCAGAGAACGCATCAAACACCATTTTCACCAAAGGTTTGCAACAAATTTCCTGCAAGCTATGTCCATAAAATTGCAGTCAGGTAACGGCAACCTTTGCATTGCTGCTGTCTACTGCCCACCTCGCTTTACAATCTCTGAAGGTCAATTCATGGATTTTTACAACTCTCTTGGAGATCGATTTATAGCTGCAGAAGATTACAACGCCAAGCATACGCATTGGGGATCCCGCCTCGTGACCCCCAAGGGAAGACAACTGTACAACGCTCTCATCAATGTGAGAAATAAGCTGGACTACGTTTCCCCTGGTAGCCCCACATATTGGCCAGCAGACCCCAGAAAGATACCCGATCTAATTGACTTCGCGGTGACAAAAAACATCCCACGCAATCTAATAAACGCCAAGGCCCTTCCGGACCTTTCTTCAGATCACTCGCCGCTGTTGATAACCCTCCTTCAAAGCCCAGAAACTGCGGATCGCCCTCACAGGCTGACGTCGCACAGAACAAATTGGATGAAATACAAAAAGTATGTGAGTTCCCACATTGAGCTAGCCCCCCAGCTCAATACTGAAGCAGACATCGACTCCTCCACCTCCGCTCTGGAAAAGGTACTTGTGACTGCAGCCAGAATCTCAACACCACAACAGACGGATGTGCAAAAAATCAAATTCAAAACGAACCAGCAAATTGCACAGCTTATCCAAGAAAAGAGGCGTCTGCGACGGGCGTGGCAAACCAATAGATCGCCATGCTCAAAGCAACGTCTAAATGAAGCCACACGCAAACTAAGCCGGGCCCTGAAGCAAGATGCCGAAAGAGCACAATTAAGATATATTGAAAAACTCTCGCCAACCAGCACAAAGCATCCCTTATGGAGAGCTCACCCAAAATTAAGCTCACCGGCTGAAACCATCACCCCGATAAGAAAGCCATCTGGTTGCTGGGCCCGCAGCGACAAAGACAGAGCCGAAACTTTTGCCTCACATCTCCAGGGCGTTTTCCAGCCGAACCCTGCTGCAAATCCATTTGAACTACCGCAAATCCCCACTGAAACGGAATCTACTCCAGCATCATTTCGTCCGAACGAGATAACGAAGGTCATCAGGGAACTGAAGCCAAAAAAGGCTCCCGGCGATGACCTAATAACTCCAAAAATGATAATTGAACTTCCGAATTGTGCTATTGAGATCATCTGTAAAATCTTCAATGGGATCATAAGTCTCGGCCATTACCCAACAAAATGGAAAAAATCTATAATTATAATGATACCG